CTCTTTTTATGAACTAGTGAGTTCATTGTGAGCTCTAAGACTCTTTTGATGAACTAATGAGTTCATACTGAGCTCTAGGGCTCTTTTTATGAACTAATGAATTCATCGTGAGCTCTAAGGCTCTTTTTATGAACTAATGAGTTCATCGTGAGCTCTAAGGCTCTTTTTATGAACTAATGAGTTCATACTGAGCTCTAAGGCTCTTTTTATAAATTAATGAGTTCATCGTGAGCTTTAAGGCTTTTTTTTATGAACTAATGAGTTCATACTGAGCTCTAAAGCTCTTTTTATGAACTGATGAGTTCATACTGAGCTTCAGGGCTCTTTTTTTTTTTTTTTGCTTATAAGGATAGATGAATCACATACTTGTTATTCCTTTTTGTTTTTACAATGGTTCATAATACAAGACAAACTTACTGAAAAAAATTTCTAAGATGTTCTGCATTCCATGAATGGGGCAAGACTTTCCCTTCTTCTGTTTGTAACTCATAATTTCCCGATCTAATCACTCGAGAGACTATGTATGGACCTTCCCAGTTAGGCTCCAGTTTCCTATGAGTGAGATCCTTTCTTGCTAGCAGAAGCTTCCTCAGCACTAGATCTCCAACCTTAAAACTCCTATGCTTGACCTTCCTGTCGTAGTACCTAGCTGCCTTCCTTTGGTAGCTCTTTATGTTGTTCAGTGCTGCCTCCCTCTTTTCTTCCAACATATCCAAACTTAGCAGAAGGGAATTATCATTGTTTTCCTCGTTTGCTAATTCTGTTCTAAGTGAAGGGAGCCCAACTTTCACAGGCGCCACTGCTTCAGAACCGAAAGCCAAAGCAAATGGAGTCTAGTGGTTGTCCTATAAGCCTATAGTACTTCTGGGAGGTGCTCCAACCATTTACCCTTCAGATTTTTCAGCTTGGTCTTCAGGGTGGACTTTGTAGTTCTGATCGTGACTTCTGCTTGTCCATTAGATTGAGGATGAGCTGGGATAGAAAAGTAGTTCTTTATTCCGAGCTCAGCACAAAAGTTTTTGAACTTCGGGTTGTCGAACTGCTTTCCATTATTCGACACAATTGCTCTGGGGATCCCAAATCGACAGATTATGGATTTTCAAGTAAAATTCTGAACCTTTTGTTCTGTAATGGCTGCCAAGAGCTCTACCTCTGGCCACTTGGTAAAGTAATCCACTCCTACAATGGCGAACTTACATTGTCCTACACTAGTGGGAAGAAGCCCTAGTATATCTAGACCCCACTGTTGGAATGGCCAAGGGCTTGTCATTGAGGTCAGGAACTTCGGTGGACAGTGAGGGATGTTGGCATGTATCTGGCAAGCTTTGCATTTTCTGACCAGGTCTGTTGAGTCCTTGAGCAAAGTGGGCCAGTAATACTCCTGCCTTAATGTCTTTCCTGCCAAAGCCCGAGCTCCGATGTGATTGCCACAGACTCCTTCGTGAATTTTCCTAAGTATATAATCAGCGTCCTCGTTCCCCACGCATTTGAGAAGTGGCGTTGAAAAACCTCGTCTGTACAAGTTTCCCTGCAAAATGGAAAATCTAGCTGACCTGGTTCTCAGCTTTGCTGCTTCCTTCCTGACTTCCGGTAACGTCCCATTCTGGAGATACTCCACGATGGGGTCCATCCAGCTTGATGGACTCTGCACAGGAAAAACTTCTTCATTCTCAATACACACAGATGGTTACGCCAGATGCTCTAGGGGGATCAACCTGTCCAGATTTTATTGAGAAACTGTTGCTAACTTTGCCAAAACGTCTACCCTCGAATTTTCAGTTCTAGGGACATGTCTGATCTTTACTTGTACAATTTTTTTGATCTTCTTGCACCTTCCTAAGATAAAGGACCATCTTTTCACCCTTAGCCTCGTAAGCTCCCTTTATCTGTTTCACCACGAGTTGTGAGTCGCTGCAGATCTCCAGTTGCTTGGCTTCCATTGAATGAGCTAAGCTGAGCCCTGCTATGACTGCCTCATACTCGGCTTCATTGTTTGAAGCTTTGAATCCANAAGCTGTTCTGCCTCCATCGAGTGTGCAAAGCTAAGCCCTGCTATATGGCCTCATACTCTGCTTCGTTGTTTGAAGCTTTAAATCCAAACCTAAGAGCGTATTCAACATCTATCTCGTCGGGGGAGGTCAGAATCAAACCAGCTCCACTGCCCTGAGCATTGGCAGCTCCATCTACTGAAAGTTTCCACGTGGGGAGGTCAGGTACTAACTGCGCTGTCTCTGTAGGTATCCCAGTCGTGAATTCTGTGATGAAATTTGCCAATATCTACCCCTTAATGGTTGTTTTTGGCTTGTATCTGATGTCAAACTCGCTAAGTTCAACGACCCATTTAACCAGTCTCCCCGAAGATTCTGGCTTGTGCAACATCTGTTTCATAGGTCGATCTGTTGGGACTTCGATAGTATNATCTGATGTCAAACTCGCTAAGTTCAACGACCCATTTAACCAGTCTCCCCAATGATTCTGGCTTGTGCAACATCTGTTTCATAGGTTGATCTGTTGGGACTTCGATAGTATGAGCCTAGAAGTAGGGTCTTAGTCTCCTGGCAGTTGTCACTAAGGCTAAAACGAGTTTTTTCATTTTAGGATACCTTTCTTCTGCCCTCTTCAGAGCTTGGCTGCAGTAGTAAACTGGTTGCTGAGCTCTGTCCTTCTCCCTTACTAGCGCTGCGCTGGTTGAGAATTCTGAGACAGCTAGGTAAATGGTGAGTACTTCTCTTTCTAACGGACTTACCAAGACAGGTGGAGAGCTCAAATAATCTTTCAATGCTTTGAAGGCTTCTTCACACCGAGCATCCCATTGGAAAGCTTTCTTTAAGACTCGAAAGAAGGGTTGACACTTGTCGCTTGATCTGAAAACGAAGCGACTCAGGGCAGCTATTCTCCCGGTTAAATGCTATATTTCCCTCGCATTGGAGGGAGGCTGCATATCCAACACTGCTTTTACCTTCTCTGGGTTAGCCTCTATCCCTCTGCTATTAACTATGAATCCCAGAAATTTTCCTGCTAACATCCCAAAGGCACACTTAGCAGGGTTGAGCTTCATCTTGTATTCTCTCAGGACTTGAAACGACTCTGCTAGTTGCCCAATGTGGAGCTCTGCCTTTAGTGACTTGACCAGCATGTCGTCAATATAGACCTCTATGGAGGTCCCAATCTGTTTTTGAAACATCTTATTTACCAGGCGCTGGTAAGTGGCTCCTGCATTTTTTAACCCGAAAGGTATCACTTGATAGCAGTACATCCCTTGCTCGGTTATTAATGAGGTCTTCTCTTGGTCACTGGGATCCATCCTGATCTGATTGTACCTAGAGAAGGCATCCATGAAGCTGAGAAGCTCATGTCCCGCAGTGGCGTCTACAATCAAATCTATTCGAGGTAAAAGAAAATTATCTTTCGGGCAAGCGCGGTTGAGGTCTGTAAAGTCGATGCAAAGACGCCATTTGCCATTTGTCTTCATGACTAGGACTACATTGGCTAGCCAGACTGGGTAATCCACTTCTCGAATGGCTTTCGCGTGAAGGAGCTTGCCGACCTCTTCGTTGATGGCTTTTTGACGCTCCGGGGCGAAGCTCCTCCTCTTCTGCTTAACGGGCTTACAGGCTGGATTCACGTTGAGCTTGTGAGTGATGACAAAAGGATCAATCTCTTTCATGTCCTCTTGTTTCCATGCAAAAACTTCCTTGTTTCTTTTCAGGAATTGGATGAGGAGATCCTTGATCTCCTTGCTCAACTTGGATCCAACGTAAACAAGATGCTCTGGCTCCTCATCGATTTGAACAGGTTCCAGCTCTTCTGATGGTGTTGGCCTAGTCTCAAGTTCATCTCTCATGTCAAGCTCATTCAATTGGATGCTCTCAACCTCCTTATTTCTCATGGATGCCATGTAGCATTCCCGTGCTANTGCCCTTACTTCGCGGGATTTTCCTTAATTCTAGGAGAAGATCTTGGTTGGTTGAGATTCGGTGCCTTGATTATAGCTTCCTAACGCTTTTAGGAAGCTCTCGTGATCTTCCAGCTGTTGCCTTGGTTGTTATTGCCCTTGCTTATCTGAAAGGGACCTCCAGCTCTACTCTTCCGAGTTCTGTTCATCTAGTCTGACCTCCTGAGCTGGCATTTGAGATTTATTTTGAGGTATCATCATAGTTAATAAAATAACTTAATAAGGGCCTCATTTGGAAAGAACCAGTCTAGTAGATCAGAAAGAAAGCAATTGCTATGGAGAAGTGCTCTTCGCAATAGGGATTTACAGTCAGCAGTGATTGCAGTTAGGAGCCCACTCAGTTACGGATAAAAATTGTACTTGGATATGATATGTTTCCCAGAACCCGTGCGTATGATTTAGTAAATAGTAAATATTGTCTGATGTGCGCGTACCGGATATGCTTTGATAGGAAAAGAAAATTTCATTAATTGATGTGCTGGATATGCTTTGAAGTTTTTATATTAGGCAATGACGATATTGGCTTCTTAATTGCACTTGTGCTTTTATCAAGAAAAGCCATTATGCTAAAGCTCTTTATTTCTAGGCCCCCCAGTATAGCTGTAAATGCCATCTGGTTTGCTGCTGCTGCTGCTGTTTTTACTATTATAGTTGGTTCAATGTTTTAACGGATATATATCCTCACCTCTATTGGCCTAAGTAGGTGAACTTTATATCAATTATCTTTTGGCGTTGGCAAGTAATGTTTTAGTTTTAGTTTTAGTGCTCGCACATATAGCTCTACAGTTTTAGGTGCCGTTTGATAACCTCGTGTTTTTGTTTTCATTTTTTGGGACAAATGAAAATAAAAATATGTTTGGTTAATGTTTTCGGTTTTTTTTTGTTGATCCTTATGGAAAACATCCAAAAAACAAAACAGGCGAAAGGAAGTAGACCAATTAATGAGATCTGGACTTCAAACCTCAATACCAACAAAAAATCTATCATTTTCCCTCACCATATAAAAAGGCAACTCTCTCCTCATCTTCTCTCTCTCTCATGAAGCATGCGAAGGGGTTCAGATCACCGATCTTCGGTGGCGGGGTTGGGGTTGGGTTTTGGGGGTTGTGGTGGCGGGTTTCCGTGGTGGTTTTTGATAGTCAGTGGGGTTGGGTGGTGGGGTTTGGGTATAATACCAAACCGGTTTTTTATTTTTGTTTTCACAATTTTTTAAATATAAATGACTACCAAATATATTTTATATTTTTATTTTTTATCACAAAAAAAAAACTAGTTCTTGTTAAAAAAACATAAAAATGAAAATGTTGCCAAATGCACCCTTAATTGGTAGAATTTTATTGCATTATTTTTTCCATCTGGAGAACTTTGAAACACAATTGTGGTGGAATTCAATTATATTTTTGCTGGGGTAATATGACTCTGCAAGAATTTTGTTGATAGTTGCTGTGATATAATGCCCTAATGGTGGAGATTCGATTTATGAGTCGCTCTGTGGCACTTATGGCCTGTTTCTTGATGTACTCAGGTACGTGTTCAATCGGATCCAGCTGGACGCCTGGTTATTACAGGTCAACCTGAGCAGCCTGAAAATCCATGGGGTATCAGTGCCTTTAAAAAGGTATATCTGACATGTAATTGTTAGCTGGAAGAAATCTGTGACATATTTAGCATTGTTCACAGCCTGCAATTTATGCCAGAATATCTGGTGATATGGAGTAAGGACAAATAAAAATATTGTCTTGCCTTGTTCCCAATTGTTATCATCTGGCAAACTATTTAGTGCTTAATTTTCTTTTATATTCTTGAAGATTGTTTTGAATCAGCACAATTGCACCGTGGTATGTAATTGTAGGTAGTCAGCTTACCTGGAAGAATTGATCCTCTTCAGACATCTGCCGTTGTCAGCCTGCATGGAAGACTCTTTGTTCGTGTTCCTTTTGAGCAGTCGAATATGTAAATTGAAACCGATGTTGAGCAAAGATGGTTCCTGGTAGGGATTGGATCATCAAAACCATCGTTGCTGAATCAGCAGAAGCTACGTAACGTCCTNAAGATGATTCCTGGTAGGGATTGGATCATCAAAACCATCGTTGCTGAATCAGCAGAAGCTACGNATGGTTCCTGGTAGGGATTGGATCATCAAAACCATCGTTGCTGAATCAGCAGAAGCTACGTAACGTCCTTAATGTTGAGCTTTGCTGTTTTATTATTGTGCATGTCAGCATTTACACGTTAGTTTTAGAGGTCATTTGCACTGACAAAATTTGAGTTAGATAGTGAGGAGGCTTTTTCGGTTTTAGGCTGCAGCAATAGCTTTGATGGCTAACGTTGTAGGACAAATGGATCTATATTTGGAGTTAATGTAGGCTTGTCAGTTGTTCCTGTTCCTGTTTCAGTTAATTTAGACAATGACAGACAGTTATCATTGCATTGAAAACGTATTGACGATTCCAAATATTTTTTAACTTTGAGCAGCATCTTCTCATGTTTTGTTGACAAAAACTCCTCAGTCTTGTCTTTGTATATTGCTTGGGCGGTTAGGGTTGTGCAGAATAAAAGAGATTAGAATATATGAGTTGTGAGTTCTAATCACGCGGTTACCTGGGTAATGAAACTCACATCTAAGGAGCTGCTGGGATCTCCATTGATGTGTCGTGCTTTTTTTCTATGTTTTCATTCTCTTTTTTTTTTTTTTACTAGGTTTATTCTTTATTTGTGTGCTTTTTTTTTTTTTTGGGGGGGGGGGGGAGGGGGGAAAAAAAAAAANAGGGGTTAAAAAGAAAGTTTTTTTTTTGTTGTTTTTTTTTTTTTTTGGGGGGGGGGGGGATGAGGGAAAAAAAAGGGCGGCCGGGAGGGTAAAATGTCGGGTTAATTATAAAATGTCTCCTTCAAGTATAAATCGACTTTGAGTTTTAATTTTAATAATTTATCTACTTAAAGTTCAAATATTTTTTATTTAACTCTTACCGTTAGTTATTAACCATTAACAATGACAAATTTTTCACGGAAATTCCATGTGATTTGAAAGTCAATCAAAACTACAAAAATATCCTCGTCTCCTTTTGTTTAAAAAAAACTCCCTCCCTCCACCGGTGAGACCC